AACAGCATCGAACTGGTGAATGCTTTGAGAAAATTCTTTCAGACCCTGCCATCGACTTCAGCCTTCCTCCTCGGAACAGCCTCCCTGGCACGATCTTAAAGTTTATTTTCAGCGCAGTTGACTCTTTGATTGCAAAGGAGAGCCCGCTTATATACAAGTTTGGCTTTACGCACTGCGCGCAGTGGCGATTTCGCAATGCGATGTACGGATATGTCACTGACACATTTCACCAGTGGGATCGGATGAGAGTTATGTACGCTGCCTCGGAAACTATATCACCGGCTTTTGTTGAGGCTGCCCTCATTCAGAGGTACAAGGGTTGCTTGGCTCAAGCATGAAATCAACCATTCCCCATTGTTGAGCACGAATGCCCGAAAACTGGGCCACAGGTGGACTGAAACGTATCGGGCATTTTTTCCGCGTGCTTCAGTTGTTCATTCCTGAGGTTGCTCGGGGTGCAAAAACATCCGAGATGGCGGGGAGTCTGTGCAGAAGTCTGAGTGTGGCCCCTTCCTCGTCTACTGTGTCTTCAGATCATTCAAGCACCCGCCGGCTGTGAAGGGCAAACCCGAACAGAGAACAAGACCCCTTCGTTGAATGTTGAATGGAAAAGAAAGCTGTGGTTGATTGCACTGACTGATGGGCTCAACCCTGCCGATCCAAGGCTTCAAACGGAATTTGACGCTGTTCGCTCGAAGATCCAAAAACCGTGCCTTTTCTGAACTCGAGCCCAACACATGTTCCCTCAACAGACTGCCGCCAAACAAGGTGTGCTGAGCTGTGTGGCAAGATGGCCAAGCATAAGTGCATCACTTAGTTGGATTGGTTCTCGAAAGACAACAAGAGAAGAGAAGAGAGAGAGAGAGAGAGACAGAGAGAGAGAGAGAGAAGAGCGAGCGAGAGATATAGAGAGAGAGAGAGAGAGATAGCCCCCGTACACAGTTTACTTCTCACTTGAACAAAACACACGCTTGGCTGTAGGCTTTTCCTGAAGGAGATCAACCAGAACCGCAAGAAGAGTGGGCAGGACACGTGTGAGAAACCAAAGAAACGCGATGAGCCGGATGCGGAACAAGAAGCGCCCCCTCCAAAGAAGAGGGCGCGAAGGAAGGTCAAAGCTTGAATACTGCACATATGATGCTCTCTTGGGTGGTGAGTTCATTGAAATCGCCAAAACACTCCCCCTTACAATTCCTTACATGCATATATATATAATAGCTCATACAGAGAGACAGGTTACCAAGGTTGTTTGATTGCGTCCGAAGAACAAAGTGTTGGCGGTTTCGATGAAACTGTTTGCTCGTTGGCCTTAGCCCTGAGTGTGTGAATACACGCGCTCAGCCTGGCCAACATTAGAATCTTTAGATTGCTGCGGTTATGCGCAGCGCTGGTAATCCATCGATCACGCAACTGACATCCAGAAGCGTGCTAGAGTTGTGGTCTTGGGGTCGGCTCAAAAAAGACTTTTGCGCATTGGCTTGACCTGAGTGGTTGCAACAGCATGCGCATATTGGTACCAAACTTGAAACCAATCCGAAACGGCTGGTCGAACGCTTGTCGAACGCCAGGTCCGTGCTGGACAGCTAAGAAGCTGGCTCGCGACATTGGAAGTGGAGAGCCATGGCTGCAGGACTCTGGTATAGCGTTGGTTTCACGAATGTTCATCCATATTTTGAAAGAGGTGTCATTTTTGAGGGACTATTGCAACGCTGCTTCTCGTTTTCTTTCGCCAAGGGGACTTGCACAAGCGCTCTGGGTACAGCTCGGGCTGTGATGCGTGATTCCCGGGAGCTAGGTGGCGAGGAGATACAATGCCCTGTCCTCAAGAGGTTGGAAGGGGCTCCAAACAAGAAGTCTGCCGCTTTGCAGGCAAAGTCGTGCTTTCGTGACTGTGTTGCTTTTCCCAAACATGGAAGCCCAAATAAACAGCCATGGCGGTTGGACCGGCCTTTTGTTGTCCTTTTTCAGGTGGTACAAAAAACATATTAACAACATTCTTCAGCTCTGAATCAGGAAGAGGTCGCCCACCGAACCTTCTCCAAGTTTGGCCTTCGATTGAATGTGAAGATTACTTATGTGGATGTGGGTGCCCGCCAAAAGCTGCCCATGCTCTTGCCGTCGTCCTTCCTCGAGCTCATAGACAAGAAAAACTTCTGGGGCAAGATTTGCGGACAACCAACTCTGGCATCGGCTGAGCGTGCCTTTGCATCTTTCTGGGAGAAGTACAAAGTTGTTTGCCCCGACTTCACGTTTTTCGACATTGCCCGTGAAAGAAATATCCCCTTGTGTAGGGCGTGCCCCATCTATGTCCACGGGGATGAGGGCACCCACTACAAACGAGGTGCAATAATGATCTTGCAGTTTCAGGGGGTGCTGGGGTCGGGAACTACTCGCCATGTGAATGACAACACCCGGGATGCTCTTGCCGTCAACTCGTTGGGCAACACGTTGAACACAAGACTGCTAGTCGGCACTATGACAAAGGAAGCTTGGTCTCATTTACAATGATGCAACATTTTCACTTTAGAATTTGCGGTAAATCGTTACAGGTGTTCCTATCTTTGGATCTTTGGGGGTGTCGTGCAAGTTCTTAATTGGTCAAGCCAAACGCCAACCCTCGATGCCGATCTATATCATTCCCATTAAGGCAATGTACAAGTTTACACCCGACGTGCTGGAGGGGATGTTTGAATTCCTGGTGGAGGATTTGCACATGCTGTGCACCAAGGGTCTAGTTTTGAAGGATGGCAATCCTCTCTGGTTGGTACCCTTAGGAGTGAAGGGGGATTGGCCGTTTCTCGTATCTTGGCAAGCCATGGCAATGCTTTTACTGTTTTTGCACCGGTCCCGCCTAAACAAGCTTACACGAGTGGCTTTGGAATCCAAGGCCACTGCTGGTGGACTTACCAGGACATTCCGAAATGGCCCAAAGGCTGCTGCCTCGAAAACCGCTGGGGTTGGAATATGCCACCTTTGCAGAGCCGGCCAACCGGGGCTGGACTTTGAGGATATGCTCCCTGCCTAATACTCTTTGCGTGGTAGCTTTTGTAGTTTGACATTTCTTTGGAATGTGTTAAATGGGATTGGTGTAAGTGACAAGCGATTGAAAACAGTTGCATTGGGCCCCAAAAAGGTCTGACTACCCACCATTCATGGAAACCATCGATGAGCAACCTCCTTGGGATGACTTGCCGTGTTGGGTTCGGGTACTTCCACATGATCGCAACAGCCCCGCTGCATACTTCAAGCCTGACGTGTGGCATACCGTGAACCTGGGGGTGGGGCGGTCATGGGTTGCCAACTGCGTGGTTCTCTTGGCATGCAACCTTCCGGAGTTTGAGAGCCTCAGCATTGACGATACCTTGGCCCGCCTGTCGACTTCATACGTTGCTTTCTGTGAGGCGTCTGAACCTCGATTGATTTTACAACTAGTTTAGCCCGTTTGAATTATAAACAACAGCCGGCGCTTGAACATGCTGCATCCTACGCTTGCTGTTTGGCAACTGCATGCATATAAGGTGCCGAAGAAGGTGAAGTACATCAGCACGCTTACCCGAACGACTTTTGGCTGGGAAAGCACTAGTGTGGCGCCCGACGGCACTTGGAGCAAGGGTTCCTTGACAACAACTTTAGCATCCTGGGTGGAAGCATTCTGTCAAGAGCGCGCTCTGGAACAAGGTTCTGACAACCGGCTTGCTTTGGTGGCTTCAGGCACTCGTGCCATGAATGCAATGATGAAAGCCTTTTATGATCATGATTTGTGGCTGGATATGGCTGGTAAGAACCGCGTCCTAGCTGCTGGCCATCACTTCTTGCAAGCAACCGCAAAGCTTGCGGTTCTCTCTTTCCAGCTCCGCCAAACAATGTTCCCAATTACCCCGAAACATCATATGATGTTTCACTGCATCAAAACAATCGAGTGGCAGGGTGACGTTGCTGGGTACGCCCAGAACCCTGTATCAGAATTTTGCGCTTTGGATGAGGATTTCATCGGAAGGGTAGCTTCGGTGTCCAGATCTGTAAGCCCAAGACTTACATGCCTACGCGTGGCTCAAAGGTACCTGCTTTTGTGCCGGGCTGCGTGGGTGGGCGATCTGGATGACCTAATTCGGGGTGTCAAACGCGGACGCAATTAAGTGATTGCTTAGCGCACGCAGCGGGGGAAAATTGGTGCCACTCCTTGCGGGGTTCCTCGTGTGGACGCCCAATGATCTTCGAGAGGCCGGCGCGGCCGGGCAAGGGTCCAGGCAAGTGTCAGCCCCCCCCCCCCCGGTCAAAACACAAAAAACAACACCAGTGCTCCAAAAACCGTTCGGTGTTCCAAAAAGCGTTCAGGTGTTGAAATCCCTGTAAAACCATCGTTTTGGGAAGAAGTGTTGAAATTAGTACGTTTTTGGGGGTCGCAGGTATATATATATGAAGGGGGGTGGGGGTCCAATAATATTAGACATAATGACTTCTAAACATGCGGCATGGCTTTCAAAACTCCCTTAAACCTGTTTCATCTGATTACTAAATAAAGATCGGCCTGACTTGTCTTTGCATTTGGATTCGGGGTCTTTTCAGCTTGCTCTTTTCGTTTTTAGGACAAGGACTCAACATCTGAGTACAACATGTTGTGTTGGTGTCTTGTCTCCAAAATCCATTGACCCTTCACACACGAACACACACACACACACACATGCATGGAACAACAAAAAGGCACTCCAAAGTAGTCTCCTCCCAAATTGCCGATGTTAGTTTCGCGACCTGTGCTAGCCTCAAAGGGGATGCCTTTCTCATTCGCGATTTGTTAATACTTCCAAAGCCTGACATAAACAACGGATCCTGGAGTACACGGCCCATATCACAGTCAGCTCGTTTTGCGCCTAGGTAAGCTCGCTATAACAATTGCACACCTGTTGGTTGCCAAGTTGGAATAAGTTTCTGGTTGGTTGCCTTTGGTGGAACTTTAAACACCTCTGAAAACCGCACGTTCCCTGGGACTTCTTTCGCCGCGCCTCTCCCCTTGCACCACGGCCCGTTGCCAGGAGCCCCCTATGGAGTGGAGCGCCAGGTGCAACGCGGAGCGCCAGGGACCGCCAAAGCCTGCATGCGGGATGCGTGGACCCGAATGAGCGGTAAACAAACCCATTGATGTGTGGTTCCATTAAGATGGTGATAAACATCTTTTTGTGTTGGTTTCGAAGTGGGGAAATTTGCATGGGCGCATTCCAAAGGATCACGGATGGAGTATGTAAGGGGCACCAACCCATCCATGGGGTGTATAAGGATATACAAGGGTATATGTGGTACCTTCATGACCGAATAAAATGGGTCAATGCACCATATTGCCCTCACACCCAGTAACATCAAAAAAGATAACAGGAAGCCCGCGGAACATATTTTTCCCAAACGGGCCCTTTTGCCAGCTTTCAAGTGTGTCGGCGGAAGGGTATACTTCGCCCACTCGAACCAATGGATCCCAAGGTAAGGGAGCTTTGTCAAGAATGCGTTTTGCTCTGAGGCAAGCTGGCGGCAGGTAGTGCAGACATGTCATGCATTTGTTTCAAGTGGGACCCCTGTAAAAATACTATATACGTATATATATATATATATGGGATTTATAGTATATGCTGAGCGGCTCCCCTTTTGTGTCCAGTAAGACCTGTATCTTCAGCAAGGGAAGCTATTCCTCTTTTGACATCATGCTACATTCCCAAGGATTGCCAAATGTGAATCAGCATCTGAAAGCATGCCCTTCTTCGTTCAGGGCAAGCGCTGAGGCAGCAACAACATGCAACACGACATCGCAAGCCCAAGCATTCGGCGCTTGTTTGGCCCTGGTTGACCTTGATGCCGATCGATTCAGCCCATTGCCGTCAAGGGCGGGGCCCTGTTTGGAGGAGTGGTTTGGGGGCGGCGCCTGCAAACGGGTGTGTCACGTTAGGGGGTCCCATTTTGGTTGGTTTTACCGGGGAAACAGGCTCCCCTATTTTGAGACAAACCCAACTGGGAAATCAACCCTTGATCCCGGAGAAACGGCCGGGGGCCTGTGGGTTTGTGCCAAGCGGCGCACCGAGCACGGGCGGCCGCCACCGGATTGCTTTGCCAGCACCTGACAGACGGTAGCCCCCGCATGGTGAGGTGGGCAAGCATTCTAAGAGGATGGAAATCAGGCGGCGGAAAAAGGCGGACCGGACACCCAAATAAGTTTGTGGGCTTCCTTTCAAGCCCTATCAGACCCTAGTTGATAGTGGAACCCTTGCTTTCTGTCTGTGCACCTCTTGTGGCTCACCTAAGGCGGCTTGCTTGGGGCTTCAAATGGGCTGTGGCAACAGCCGTCATTTGAGTTTTTTTTGCAGAAAGAATGGACCCTGGCTCCCTCTATTCCTCCATTGGAAGGGGGTCTCAGCGTCCAACAATGGACAGTATATCGAACAACCCCGAGTTGAAGACCTCGCCTGGCACGTTCCGAAACTCCGGCCAGAAGGCAACCAGGGTTAGCTTCCTCCCCCCCCCCCCAGGGGAAATATGGAAGGACTTTCCTTTCTGGGGGCAGCCTCACCAGTCACGTTTCCAGGCATCTTGTCCTACAGTCTCCATGGCCCGTTGACCATGGGGTTCTGCTGCTGTGCTTATTTCCGGGAAAGGACTCATTGTAAAGAGTCAGGACAACTCCTAACTATTCCCCTCCTTCGAGCATGTTTCCAGAATGCCTGATGGTTTCCCTTTGAAAACATCCACGAGGGGGCTAAATCCATGTCCCAAACTGGGTCTTAAAAGTAATCACAAACACATCCATCCTCTTTGTATTCCTTGTGGGAGATATAAATATCGTCCGTTCAGCACCTAGCAACTGTTGTGACAGACACCCAAACCTTCAAGGCACCTGCAAGGCTGCTGGCCAATTCTGCGTGGCCTGAGCGGCCGAGCGCAGAACTACTTCCCTGCAGACATGGAACCCCACCGCTTGTTTGGAGCCCTGCTTTGGGCTCCGGTGTTTGTTTGATTGAAATCACGCCCAGGCGTGATTTCAAAAGAAACACCGGGACCCCCAGGCGTGATTTCAAAAAACACCGGGACCCGCGGGCATGTTTTCAAAAAAGAAGAACAAAACGGGACCCCCCAGCCGTGATTAAACAAAAACACCTAGACCCCTCAGGCGTGATTTCACAAGAAGTGATTCCAAGAAGAATAGAACTGGAGCCGACGGGCACCGGGATCGAGGTGTTTTTTCTGCTCGTTTCGTCTTCCAAAATGAGACTCCGAAATGAGGAGTTGCAAAATAAACACGGCTGGTGTATGTTAAAAGAACAGAAACACCGGTTGCTGTTAACAACAATGTTTCTTTCTAATTTTCAGCCCAATACATAAGTAATATGATTGCTTTGCTGGATTATGGTATATCTGGCGCCCGGGACTGAAGTGAAACTGATGATGCCCCCTCCGACTAGAACCCATCGACAGACCGAGTCCTGGGCAACGCTCAAGACAACGCTATCTGGCTGTGGCGCTCCTAGCATGGCACGGAGTCTGTGTACATGCGTGTATCATTTGGACCCCACCGCCTCCCCGCCAAAAAAAAAGGTGCGGTGGTGCTTCTTTTAAACCAATCTAAAAAGGGTGTACAGTGTAGAAAGACACACAGACCCACTTAGAATCGTTCTTGAGGCCTTGGCAAAGAGATCAAGTGTTGACCCCTAACAAAGGATACAGAACAACTTTATCTGTTAGAGGCTTGGATCAGCCCTGTTTTGCATACCACTTGGGCAAATGATACCAAACAGCCTGCTCTTGTTACATACTCCCCTCCCCAAACCGGGTATATACTCGTGTGGGCTGGAAATCAGGCAACCAAGCTGTACGAACAAGGAGTAACTACTTCCACTTCAACCTTGAGCGTAAGCCAGCTTCCCTCTCACACTTTCTCCCTCACACTTACTCTTATCTTAAAAATCCAGCGTATGAGTTCTGCTGGTCGAGTATATCTGGCAAATAGTCATGACAACTCCTAAACTGCAGGTTTCCCATTGTCTTTGCAAACAACTGTGTGGCCCCCATGTTGCCACCCGAAAGCTGGGCACATCCCTCAAAAACCAGGAGATTGAAAGCTCCGTGTTTTTCCACTGAGACCCTTAAACAACTGGTAGTCTCCGCATTTTACAATAAATTTCCATGATTTGAATACAGGCAGGAGTATGAGTACTCTTACGTAGTACGGCATGCTCTTTAGATACACAATCTCCAGACTAAACTTATCGTACCAATCCTGGGTTGTGCTGTTAAGAATAATTCACACGGGGGTCTCTCGGGGGCAACGAGAACGGGGGCGGGCCGTTTCAAAAGTGTAGGATTCCAATTCGCACCATGTCAATAGTTGCCCCAATGCGGCAAAAGAAACACGTGGCATCGAACAACCCCCCTTTACAGCAGTGTTCACAAACAATGCAGTCAATGCTGTTTGAACCGATTTGAAAACCGCTGCAGTGATCCATTATATACATATGATGGATCATACGTGTTCGAAACATCCAGTAGCAACTGGTTGGTGCTGAAACACTTTCCATCTGCCCGCCTGTTCATGAATTTGTGCTAGCATAGCCAATCCCAAAAGCGTTTTTGCGCGGCCCAAGAGCCGGCAAGAAATTAGCATCAACCAAGAACGACAACGGAACATCAAAGAAAACAACACGACAAAACCAACAGCATGAAAAACAGCAAAACAATCCCCGAAGACAACTCGTGCATGGCGGTCCTTTAAGGTCGAAGGCCCGTCGCCATGCGGATGCCTCCACGAGGCATCGCAGCACCTTTGTGGATTGCCAGGGAATCAAACCACCCAACCCTTGACCCAACACTGGTGCATTCCCCCTCAACAAAAAATATGTCTTATTGTGTTTGATTCATGTTTAAAGCTTGAAATATTGAATATGGTCGGAGGAGACGCCAGAACCGACAACCCGCCAGGGAAGGTTGGAAGGGAATCTTCTGATCGAAGGGTTCTCAGAAACTTTCTGGAGGGTAGGGATGTGGATTCGATTTGTATCCTTCGCCATGAAACTTCCCAAGCCATCTTAGTCAAGATTCTATAACGCAGGAGGTGTGATTTTGCCTATGGACGGTATGAACGAATGGTTTGCAATCGATGTCCCTTGAAATAACCGCACGAACAAGGCATATCCAAGTGGGAAGGGCCATTTACCAACCTCGCACAGTCGGGTCTTTGACAAGGGAATGGGAGGGAATCGGAGATTCATTCCCATCTTCCCCAATACAAATTTGCGCGTTGGAAGCTACACATTCAAAACATACTTCTGAGGCAAAATCTATACATTATGCACCAACCAAAACCGCATGGTCCCCAAAGGAACTCCTGGACAACAAGATTCCCCAGTCAAACTCTACCACCCATGGAGGCTCCCACCCATCAAAAAGACTTTGATGGAATCGGGAGCCTGGCCTACAACATTAAACGTGGTGTTGGCTGGGACCTTTGGGGTTCCACACCTTACAAGAATGGTGATGCTTTCAACGGCACCTGGTTGGTGCCACTTGATTGGTTGGGTTGCCTTGCCTCCTTGTGAGAAAAGCCTTCGCGCTCTGTGAGAAGTAGGTAACCCTTTCTGCGATACGAGGAAGATTCCTATCCCAATGAGTACTTTGTCACTTGCGAGGGGGTTTCTTTGGTATCACAAATCATGACCCTAAAACCCAGCTGTTCACGCTTTTGCTTTGTAAGAACATCCCCACCCGTGGCTTTTCTAGGCCAGGCTGCACTGTTGTAGGTGTAGGAAGAGAGTGACACCAGCGCAGATCGCCAGAGGCCGGCCTGTCTCATAAGACACGTCTGAGTCCCAGACCTCTGGATTTCCATGGCTAAAATGGGCGCCCCTTTTAATAGTAGTTGGCTTTTCAAGGAAGATTCCCACAAACAAATTGAACAAGCCCAAGATACCCAAAGAAGCTCTGCCACTTGCTCCGAGGCACTTCTGCGGTTGGAGGAAGAAATGAAACAAGCCAAACTACTTGTTCGGGCAAGTCAACCCGAGTTGCAGGGTCATGAACACCTGAGCGCCAGCTGCACCCACTGACTTTTGGTTCTACCCACCTGGTCATAAAAGTTTAGAAAGGCCGCGCGAGAACTCGCCAGGTAACACTTGCCGATTGTTTGTTTCTTCTTGTTTTTCTCCTTTGTTTCTCTTTTTTTTCTCCGCAACTGCTCATCTGGTATTGAGGGAATTTAATTATTCAAAGCCCATGGTACTCAAACAAATGGGTTTTGGTTACAAAGTTGTAACGTCTCTTTGCTTCCCCTCCGTCGATTTAAACGGACCGAATTTTCCTTCTTATTTGTACCCTAGAACTAAAACTAGAGTATCGTGAAAAAGTTGTGCGGCGATAGTCTAGTTCTAGGGTTGAAAAAGAAAAGGCGATTTCTAAGCACCGTGTGCCACACCTGGAAAATGCTTGGGACTCTTCCCCTCACATTCCTCTGGGCTCACCTTAACTTGCGCTCCTCTCACAAAGGAACTTGTCCCGAGCGCGAACAAACAGGCCCAGATCACGAGTACTACGTGTAAATAGAATGAGAAAATAATAATGTGTGCAAGCATTGAGCCCGCGTACTATATACTGCATCATTTGGGCGCTTTCTGTCGCTTCTTGTACTTCGCAAGCCGCGTGTGCAGCCTGTTCATCAGCAAAACTCAAACATGAACTTAGAACAATCTTAGAAAGGGGTTCTTGGAACGATGTTGCGAACCTCGCTGGGGGGCACGAAGCGCCCGATTTTGTCCTTGAAGGAAATATGTTGTTTCGGGGTTTCTGCAAACCCAGCAAATGGCGGGGAAAATTCAATCGCTCAAAGCGCCCAGACCCTTCGGCCCGTCGGCCCGCCCGCCGCCTGCGCCAGTGAATTCGTCAAAAGGCTCTGAGAAGCTGCGTCCTTGGCCGGAATGCCGGGGGACGTTTTCGATCAGTCCCAAACAGGCCCAAGTGCCAGGCCCTTCGAGGATGGTCTTTTGAGGCTTACAAGCAGATTCCTTCATATGAGTCACAGTCAAAACCTTGCTCTAAAGGGGAAAGGCAGGTAAAGAGTCGAACAAGCTTCTTGCCACACCATTTCTTGGTGAATGTCCCGAACTTCCCTTCATCTACGCAGGTCATGTGCAACTTCCCTAATTCCTCCAAGCCACAGTGTGGGTTTGCCTCAAGATAGGAACCATTTTCGAAACCAACTGTCCCCCAAGAAGTGCGGGGCTCACCTTTCCCCACGGGTCCAGGAGTTCAATTTGATATTCTGGCAAATTAGATTACATACATGGAACCCCTGTGCAGGACAGAGGTAGTATCGAACGAATGCCGACCACAGGCGCGCCTGGCGCTGGAACATGTGGGGTCACTCACTTGCACAAAGGACCTGGAACTAAAACCCTAACCTTTTGGGACCTCTACTAAAAAAAACTAAAAAGGGAAAACCAAAAGGCCAACAGGTTGGCTTTGGACAACTGGTCATAACACCAAGCGACTGGTTTGGAGTTAGGGGCTTTTGGAAACATCGATGCTCATGGCGACTGGCCAGATCCGGGTATATTATGGAGGTAATCCACTGCAGCCCTGTATTTTTTTCTTCACCATTTCATATGAGCTGGAAAAAAAAAACGTATTAAAACTCTTATCCCAGGATATTTTCATTGCAAATCCAAGCGGCGGTCTTCATAAGAGTGAGGTCCCCCAAAAACATGCCCCTTAAATGTATGAGGTCTCAGGTGTGTACACCTGCTGCTGCTGCTGCTGCTGGCTGCTGGCTGCTGGCTGCTGCTGGCTGCTGCGGCTGCTGCTGGCTGCTGCTGCTGCGGCTGCTGCTGCTGGCTGCTGCTGCTGCTGCTGCTGCTGCTGCTGCTGCTGGCTGCTGCTGCTGGGATCTGCAGAAACAAAGAAAATGCAAACTAAAAAAATCCCTCTAAACGGGGCAGCCCGACTCATCCACAAGGGGGTGATGAGTCCGGGCTTTCAATATTGCTTGAAGACCCCGAGTCCGGAATTCAGAAACTTCGAAACTAACAGGGTTACTCACACAAGGGGATGTTTGGTGGGGGGGGGGGCAGAATTCACCAAATCGCCAGCACCTATGGCAAATTTCCCCAAGACAGACCTTTGGGGAAGCTACCTTTCTCTCGAATGCCACTGATAAAAGAAACTCCGGTGGGTTCCGGCGACGGTCCATCACTCAAACCATGGGGACACCCAATTTCAGGGGTTGCCGTGTCAAAGCAAGACAAACAAATATATCATGCTCGCGGTTGCAAGGGACACCCCAAAGTAGTTTCGAGAACTCAGGGCTCTGAGAACCTTTTTGGGGTTGGGTCTGACTCCGTTCGGACTCTGGAGCTCACGGGAGTCAATTCGATTCGAGCTGCTGGCCGAAGGGAGACGTCAACCATCTCCTCGAAAACGTGTTGGCATAGCTGCCACCTGACAGGGATTCTACTCACTTGGGGAGGTTCGATACGTCAACCGGGGTTGCCGGGTACTTTGAAACCAATTTCAGTTATGGTCATAAGATAATAAAGTGTGTAACACATTAGCCCCTTATGTTAGAGACCCCCGCGCAAAGAGTGACCAAGTGCCTATGCCAGCACTCGCTGAAGGAGAACACCTGAAGAGAGAGGTCAAGGGGTTTGCAAAGGTGGAGACAAATCCCTGCTAGGCACAAACCCGCTCGCTGTTCACAGCTACAGGTCCATGAAAACATAACAACATGAAAAGGCCAATCAAGACTAAGGGCTTTCGCGGACCCTTCTGTTTCCTCGAAACAAGGATGGCGATGTTGTTGCATTGTTGAATTCGAGTTGCTCTCTACGCAATACATTCCTATGCGTAGCCGTCTCAGCATGTGTCTACGATACGCAGGTGTTACATGCTCGAGCATTGATGTGATTCAACACTAAGTACACTGCTCCGAGATGAACACCACACCTTGAAAACCGCAGGAGAACCCCTTGTTCAAACAAGATGAACCAGTCAGTCTTTTGGAGTCTCTGAAAAGGATGCCAGGGTCTGGTTTGTTCAACAGTGTCGGCCCAACACCCAAAAAATCGCAACCTTCTGCGGTAGCCCCTGGGCCCGGGCCTTCAAAAACAAAGCATACAGTCACCCAACAAATCGGCTTGTTGAAGCATATGTTCTTTTCTATAAAGCAAATGTCGGCTTTGAGGCATGCGGACTCCAAGGCGTCTGTCTACACAAGATGTATGCCTGATTGTTTGTGTGGTGTGGGTGTGGGTGTGGGAGTTCCCCATGGGCGTCACATCTACGCGTGAATCATACATATATATGTATATGTATGTGTATATATATATATATATATGTACATATATATATATATGTATATATACACACATAAATATACATATATATATATATATGCATCATTCATACAATTCATAGAAGCACCCAACAAATCCAGCCAACTCCCCCTATCACAAGTCAAAGAAGACAACGATAGTTTCAAAATTATCATTCACATCAATCAACAACAGCCATCCAGACAAAGTTCAACACCACCTACTTCCAGTCCTCCCCACGGAAGGGAAAGTGGAACACACGCCACGGATCAATCTGGAGGACGCTAACCCAAGGACTCCCCTTTCCCCATAACATTTCCTCATATTTCCTTACTAAATCGGGATCCTCTGATTAGTATGATTTCCAGGATTAGACCGAGGCTATTAAAGATACCTTCGAACCCCGCCTGAGGCCCCTCAGAATGGCGTTGTAGCAATATTGGTTCCAGCTCACCTGCCAAGAAGCCGGCGCAACTTCCGGCTTGGGATCTCACTTGAGTGGAAAGGCCTAAAAAAAAAGGACCCAGTTTGCCACTAAAATGGCTTTCTCAATAAAGCGGAACTCAGGACTGACTCCTGAGCGTTTCCTTTACAGCCAATTGGAGAAGCCACAATCATTTAGCCAAAAATGAGTGGCTTCCTTTTGGCTTCTCCTTTCCACCCACAAAAGGGTAAATTATTGTGTCAACAAACGACAAATCAAAAGCAGAACACGCTTGCACCTCAAGACTCACTTCCTGAGTGAGAGTAGTAGCCAAGCATGATGCGCAGCTCCTTAGCAACCGAGAGCACGTCAACTGCCCGCCTGTCACTCCGCTTGAAAGACTGAGAGGCACCAAGCTTCTTGCTGCAAGCGAGAAAGAGATCAACAATAGTCTTCTACCACTGCCTGCTGTCAAGGTCAAGATCGCCAAGAACCTGCATGGGGGGGCGATCCTCAAGCAGACGAAGGTGACGTGAAGGAGAGACCTCCATGTGAAGAGGGACAGCTCGGACTAGCCGGGTTGTCAGCAAAGTGGCCTCCGATGACAAAAACAGAGTACTCTGGCATGCCCGCGCCAGTTTTGGAGCTTTAGGCATCACCAAACTTTCGCCTGTTTGCTTCTGGGCGTGGTTTAAGGCTTTCAGTCAGGGCTGGGCCGGCAACATGTTTACACGGTTTAAAAGTCGCGGGCGCTCTAAACGTTTGAACAAAAGTCAATGTTGAAACAATAAACCGACGCAAATGGTTCAAACCAAAACATGCTTAATCATGAGGATGTTTGAACCAATTGAAGATGTTCAAACGTCTGCGAACCTTTGAGAAGGGAGGGAGTGTTCAAAAACTTAGCTGTGCCGTTTAAACATGGGGGAGCGGCTGTGTAAACAATCAGGAGAGCCAGGGGCCGCTTAAACCCCCCTAAAACGCAGGTGGGTGGCTGGCCGCAAACCTTGTAAACACCCCAACAGTTTTCAAAAAGGGGGTGTTCATGTGGACAGGTGGCCGGTCTGCTCAGGCATGCTGAAACTGTCTAAACGTGCTTAAACGTGTTTGTGTTTAAACTGCTTAAACGATAAACGTGTTAGCTGGGCCCTGCTTTCACTCCTCCAAAAGTGCATGTTTCAGTGATTCTGTGCGTTTGGAGCTTCGACCCACCCAGAGCTGCATGTCCTGGTCTCTCTCTCTCTCTCTCTAAATGCCCAATATTCGAATAGATGCAGTGGCTCCTAGTATTGTATCCACAGAATCAGGAGGAAATGGCCTACACAAACCCGATAGCATGCTGATGTTGTCCCATGGTATACCCTCTCCCCAACAGAGGTCTGGGAAGACACGCACTCTCTTCTTGGCATGCCCCACCCCAAATCCACTTCCATGATTGGTGAAAGGAGTCCACCCATACATACCCTGTCTACAACACAACCCCAGCTCACAATTAATGTCTGTTGATTGGGTCATGGAAGCCCAGAAACCTACGTTATTGGTCTTGAACTTGGTTGACCTGGCCAAGCAAAACCAAAGGACACCAAAACCTTTGTTCTAATTCTACTCTTGGGACTTCATGATCTCTTAACCGCTCAGAGCAACCTCTGCATATTTTGAAGCTTACCCATGTTGCTCCAGGACTCGCGCTTCACCCAGCGCTCACGCCTGTTGGAATCGGAGAGCTTGAAGCCAATGATTTGCCTGCGTTGTCAAGTCAATGGACTCAAACAACTGTGGCCCCAATTTTCCATTCACAGCAGAAATAAGGGACTTGCAGTGCAGTATGATTACCTAGCAACCTGAAACGGGAAAGCAAAAACGTAAGCTTATCTCGTTTGCCCTCCCCTGGTGGCTGCACTTTGTTGGCGCCATCCTTTAGATATTATTTTACATTTCACCCGTTATGAGCAATGGACAAACTTACTCGCTGCCCAAAGGCGACATAGGACAGCTATGTGGTCCTTTTGGGAAGCTGTCGGTGTGTGTTCTGGGTGGTCCCCCAAGGTTCTCCCCATATTGGCAGCAACTCTCATGTGCCGCAGTCCAAAATGCTTGTGTAGGGTTCCCTTTGTTGTATTGCGTGCCTAAAAACCCACTCAGGCTACTTCGGGGTCCATGACATCCCTGCCACCCAAGTACTGGAGTTTTCTGGTCATAGCACGTATGGTCATGAGATGCAGCCCGTTTGCCCTTCCCATGTCTGAACCAACAACACAAAACACACGGTCGACTACTTTTGAACAATCAAGAGGCATGTCCCCCAAACAATAGGCTCTAGCCGCCTTGCCCTGTGCCAAAGCCCCCAACACACATTTTACTCCAACTAGGCTGCTGCTCCTACTAGTGCAGCTGCCACTACTTTCACCACAACCAACACAAAATCACCGACCACTAGCGCTGCTTTGCCAAAGGCAACAACGACAGCAAGTGCAAAAACAATAATATCACAACAACAACAACAACGGTCCGACCGGTCGTCTGGCCGCGAACACCAACGCCCCGCCCCTTGACAAGGAGCTTTTGCACTGCAAAAACCATTGCATTCTAACATCGCTGAATCCAAAGCAGGAGATTTCTCAGGACGCTATTTTACACAAAAACGGCGTCCCAAACACTACAGTTCCACACGAACACACTTTGCATGTTGCAAGAAAACACAGTTCCAAAGCAGAGAACACCAACTACATATGTAAAAAACCATGTAAAATCCAAACAGTCTATACATATATATATACATCAATGTGTCACGTATCGTTCCTACTGCTAGGCTGCGACGCACCCCAATTCTTTTTCCCTTCTCATCATTCATAGTCTGCACTGCCCGTGCCTGTAACAACCCTCATCGCCTGAGGGATAATGCTTTGGATTTCCATGCATCTCCTGCATGGACTGTGCTTAGAGGGGGCCACCGGTCAACTCCGGTTGGGATGCCTCTAACATCCTTAAAAGTTCCCCAATGCACTTCATCAACTCCCAAAGCACTACAGAAAGCTCGTCACCGCGAGCACGGCACGAAATGGCAGCTTCCACATGATGGGGAAACAGAAAGCAGTAGACATTGAAAAATCATTTTGGCGGGCCCATGGGTCCTGCCATCCTAACCGAGAAATCGCATCAGACCAGTTGGATTTGGAAGGGATCCACTCCCCCACAAACTGCAAATCCTCATCCATAACTGCTTCCTGCTCCAGTGGGGTTGGCGTCATCTTCATAGCCAAGGCCGCAGCGAAGTGGTCGTCCGGATTGGGTACACCGGAGATCAGCGGGGGCAGGGCTGCCTTGTGGCTCAACGCACCCGCTTGCTGCCCCTCCGCCGGATGCGGACCCCCGCCGGGGCCGTGGCAGGGCCCAGGGGACCATCCCAATCCAGATGCTGCCCGTTCCGCCACTCCGCATAGTCGATGAAAGGAGACTGGTTGATAAGGTCCTCAATCATGGGGAAGCGGAAGCCCGTGAACCAGGGCTCAGGAAAGAGACCCAAGAAGCAGTTCACCACTGCCTCTTGCGTCCAACGCCTCCACGGCACCGCTCTGGCATCCACTCCTGGCAAACCGCCCCATGCCAGCAGGACTCCTCGTCTTGGCACTCGTCGGTTCTTCCGCCGTGCTGGCTGTGCGGCCGACTGCTGGACACACTCCTCAAAAACCAAGCCGGCCAAAATGTCAGCCTCGCACACCTCCTCAAAGCTGCAATCACAGGCCAGCCTCTTGCCCATCAGCTCTGGCAATCGCTCATTCAGGCCTGACTGGTGGACATACTGCACGAAACGTGGGATCCACTCGTCCCACGAGCAATCGTGTCCCGGCACCCACGGGCATCTCCAGTCGGATGTAGGGACTCGATGGCTGTGATGCCCTCGTCCAACGTAGACCACGTCCTCGGGTAGGGTACCATCTTCGTACAGCACCTCAAGGATCACCACTCGCCGAGGCACCGTGGCGCCCGATGCCAGCGGGGGCGGCTTGAGCCCGAGGCTCACCGCCATCGGTGCCATGGCCCATTCGCGTAGAGCCCGTCCATCGAACTCCAACCAGTGCTCCCGGCGACCTACCGTCTCAATCGCTGGCATCCGCGGGACCGTCAGGCGTGCCTTGCCGACCCTGGCAGCCCACCACGAAGCCGCCACCGCGATGCTGAACGCCAGCGCTGCCGTGTACTCCGCCTCGGCCTTGGACGGGTACCACCTGCCATCGGAACTCTCCTGTGGTTCCCACTCTCGGGGGTGGTGGGTATGGTGGCACATCAAAGGCGGCCACTCCTCGATCTCCTGGACGTTGTGTCTGAGGCACTGGAGTTTGCTCCTGGCTCCCGCAAACACGCATGCGGAATATTGCGTGTCCTTCCACAGTCCGGACTCCATCATCGCCTGCTCCTGGGGGAGGTACCAGTGCAAGCTCCTCCATGGGTTCTCCCGCACGGAGGCCCCCCCTCCTTCGGCGTGCTTCTGGAGCTGTGTTGTGTCCACCCGAGCCTGGTCCTTGATTGCCAGCCCTGGTAACCCCAGGGGCTGGTCTGCTGACCGGAGGGGCTGGGGTGCTGGTCGCCCGTCGTTGAACTTCCGCGGAATCTCCCTCGCCCGCGACTTGGTGGAACAGTCCATCGCGGCCGCAATGAAGTCGGTCTCCTCGAGCTGGCCTGCCAACGACTTTTGCCTCAGGGGGTTAGACAGGTCATGGGCGGGGTCCAGGAGCCAGTCCACGGAGACGGTGCGCCATCCACACCACAGGAAGGCTTTAGAACGGGAGATTCGGCCCACACATGAGGTCAGCCATCAAAGGTGGCTCGCCACCAGGCAGCGCTACCGCAGCGGACCCAGAGGATGCAGCTGCCACATCATCCTCCGGGCCCCATCAGGAGCCTTTCCCCTTCTTCCCAGCGCGACAGGTGGACACTCCGTGGTTGCTGCCCCCACAGACGCGCTCCCCCCTGGTCACAAGGCCGCAGCGCACAGGGTGACTCCATCCTTCAGCACTTTTGCCACCGCCCGACCGCCAATCGGCTTACCCAGCTGGAAGAGGGACGTGCTCGGGGTGCTGGTAGCCACTTTGCCCACAGCCGGAGTGGCCGGCGCGGCGCTCCCCTCGCCGGCACGCACCACCCAGTGCGGGTCCCGGGCCTCAAACACCTCCTCTTGGCCTACTACTACCGGGCCAGACGGGTGCTCCAGTCGCTCCCGCACCACAAGCGGCTGGGATGGCTGCAGGCTCAGGACCTGGCCGAACGGACTGAGTGGGTGACCAAGTTCCGCGAGAGCACCAAGACGCTGGGCAAGGTGGTCATGGATCCCTAGCCGCCTCCGGAGCACCCGACACTCGGCCCGTGCCAGCCAGGGCGTAGGCCACCAGCAACGTGTAGAGCTTGTCCAGATAGCCCTCCCAATCTCTGGCCACAGTGTCCTCGTCCGCGTCCTCTTCGACGAACAAGGTGTCCGCCAGCTTCCTCTTCTTGCTGGATGACGTGAGCTGGAATTGCAATGAACGAACCTTCCACACATCGAAAACGCACAGCAGCCTCTTGGACATCTCTCGACTCACTCGGGAAACGGTGGCATCCGAAGGGTACAATTCCGGGGGGAGCCGAACTCGGTACCTGGTCCAAAAGGCCACCTTGACATCCCGAAGCTCGCTGTCTCCCAGCAGTGAATCGAGGTCAGTGGCACTCACTTTGGAACGGTCGGTGTCACACTGCTTGAAATACAGTGAAACCGCGGACCAGGCCCGCCTCAAACGAGCCACCTGGATCATTCGATCCTCTCCCAGATTCAGTTTGCCCAGGAAGGTTTCAACCTGTGCCTCCGAGTCGAAGAAAAACCGAAATTCTTCCAGGTTGGCAATCTTGTGTTTGAGGAGGGCTTGGACGACCGATTGCTCCAAATCGAAGTTGATTGCCAGGGCCCCAAGGGTTTCCTCAATGGTCTTCCCAGGTGGAGGCACCAACCCCAAACTTGCCATTGCCGCCGGGGTCACTCCCCGGCCTGGCTGTCAACGCCGGATCTAGTCCTGCAATACGAAATGGGCTGAGGCAGACCCCGTCCCATGACCGACTTCCCTCCCTGTCTTCCACGGAAACCCCCATGACAGTGCAGGTGCAGCGGAGTCAAGCCGTGGAGCATCACTTGCGGGGGACTGTCACTCGCCCTTCAACTTCTCCCCAAAACCTAAGGTCCCAGCCAAACTTCACACCCCTTGGGGGGGGGCCTCAGAGGTTCTGGGGTTAAAACAGTTCGTCCTCACATCGACTTTCTTCTCACTCTCAGCAGAGTCGGGCCCGTCGGCACAGGCTGAGGCCCGTGCAAAATGGGGACCCAAGCTTATTTGGATGCGCCGGGGCGCTACAAGGCAAAACCGCAAAACATCAGCCATGGTCTACTCACTGCGCCGCCACCCAGCTGGAGCTCGCCCCTGGCAAAGGTGGCACAAAGTCCGCCCCCACGCTGACGCCTCCTCCCAGGTGTCGCACAGGATCGGATCCCTCAAGCGCCCAGCACCAGAGCGCGCCTGCTTGTGGCTGCACAGCGGCGCATCGTTCATCATGCGCAGGTGGATGTTCGAGCGCACCGTGGTCACGTAGCCCACCGGCAAAGGCCACGAGGGTCCCACCCTCGTTTCCTGCCGCATTCGCTCCACCCACATCCCGGTGTCCTTGTCGCGGGCGATCCTGCTATACTCGATGTTTCTGCGGGCCCGAATCCACGCCTCCGA